TTATATTTTCCACCCATTGAACAGAAGTGGCTTATCACAAAGGTCTTCACGTTGAGTAGGCTAAGGAGGAGAAGGAAGAAGAAGGGTTGGTCTTGCTGTCTCAGGGGTGGCAGAGGCAGAAGAAAAAGTTGCCCTGGTGTATTTTGTAAGAGGACCACGTAGTTCATGCTTATGTTGTTCAAGGGTCAGTCTATATATAGTTAACCCTAAATATATATACAAAGAGAGAGAGGTGATTCTGTGGATTTTGAAAAAGTCCTAAGAGAGGCCAGGCATGGTGGCCCACGCCCATAATCCCAGCACTTTAGGAGGCTGAGGCGGGTGGTGGATCACTTGAGGTCAGGAGTTCAAGACCAGGCTGGCCAACATGATTAAACCCTCTCTGTACTAAAAATACAAAAATGCGGCTGGGCACGGTGGCTCATGCCTGTAATCCCAGGACTTTGGGAGGCTGAGGTGTGTGGATCACCTGAGGTCAGGAGTTTGGGACAACACAGTGAAACCCTGCCTCTACTAAAATTACAAAAATTACCTGGGTGTGGTGGCACGTGCCTGTAGTCCCCATTGTTTGGCAGGCTACAGCAGGAAAGTCGCTTGACCCGGGGAGGTTGCAGTGAGCCAAGACTGCACCACTGCACTCCAGCCTCGATGACAGAGCGAGACCTTATCTCAAAAAAAAAAAAAAAAAAAAAGAGAGAGAGAGAGATAATACAGTGTTAGTGGATGGGGTAGAGATGCAATGGAAATTGGCTGTGAGTTGATCATTGTTTAAGCTGCTTTTGTGCAGTCTGAAACCTTCCAGCTGGGTGAAGTGGCTCACACCTGTAATCCCAGCACTTTGGAAGGCCGAGGCAGGTGGATCACCTGAGGTCAGGAGTTCGAGACCAGCCTGGCCAACGTGGTGAAACCCCATCTCCAGTAAAACTACAAAAACATTTAGTTGGGTGTGGTGGTACGCACCTGTAATCCCAGGTACTCAGGATGCTGAGCCAGAAGAATGGCTTGAACTTGGGAGGTGGTGGTTGCTGTGAGCCAAGGTTGCACCACTGTACTCCACCTGGGTGACAGAGCAAGACCCCATCTCAAAAAATCTATATATATACCTGATTGAAACTTAGAAAGACTGGAAAAAAAACTTTCATAGGAAAATGTGTTCTCAAAGCAGCTTGCACACCACCTTCTCCCTAACCCCGTTCTCCAATATCCAAGGTGGATATGAGGCCTCTCGGGCTCCCCTGGGGCCCAAGT